GGCGCTGAGCTGCAGCTACTAGGTCTTGTAGATTGTAGCACCTGGTGGGTCCCAAGAACGGCTCTGACACCCGCCTCCAGTGTCACACTCCTCCCAGCCCCCCCCCCCATCCCCCGTGCGTCACACGTCACAAACCTCCCGCCTGTCTGCCATGGAACCTCCCGCCCTTCAGCTGGGCCCCGTGGCTGCTCAGCAGACTCATCCCCCTGGGGTTTGTTCTCCCAGCCGGCAGCCGGCAGCACTGAATTCAGAACAAACCCCGACCACCCCAGGACCTTTCACCCCTAACTGTTACCACATAAACGTTCTCTCTCTTCCCTAGCCGGGGGAGCTACAATCACTGTCCCGCTGCTGCTGAGGGGCTGGTAAACAAGGAATCCACACCCATGGCAACTTATAGTAAAAATGCCAAGCTGGCTTGATACAGACCTGATACAAACCTGAGCAAATTATCAACAGGAGTCGTCCCTTTAGAGATTGTCCCTGTCAGTCATTGTGTTTGGCCCCATCCTATTTGAAGTGTTCAGGCCCCAGTTTATTGGGGTCTACAAAATATTAGCCCAAAACACAAAAGGGAGAGGGCTGAAAAGAACCCAGGACTCAAAGGGGCTTAACAGAAGGTAACTAGCCAGCAGTGTCCAATAGGAGGAAGGACACGCTCAGATCAGGAGGTGTTTGCAGTGCGGAGGCTGAGAACGCGAATGAGAACCCCCCTGGTGCACACAAACTCTACAGCAGCAGCCAGTGAGCAGGGAGCAGATTTGCATGAAGGGGCCGTTCTCCAGCTCTGGGGGTTTAAGAGAGAATCGGAGGGTCCCAGTCACAGACCCGTTTTCCTCTGGAAGCCGAGCTCGTCTGGATTCCCACCATGGCCTGGGCCCCTCTGCTCCTCACGCTGCTCACTTACTGCTCTGGTAAAGGGGAGGGTTTCTGGTCTCAATTTAATTTAAAGTGACTTTTGACTGAATTCCTGCATATTGCTGATTCCCAGACCCCTGGCTCAGCAGGAAATGTGCAGGCGTTAACTCCAAGCCATGACGATCATGCAGCATTTTCTCTTTCTTTCCAGGTTCCCTCTCCCAGTTTACTCTGACTCAGCCACCCTCAGTGTCAGTGTCCATTGGCAACACAGTTAAACTCTCCTGCGCCCTCAGCAGTGGATCCACATTTGGAGGTGTCCCCTGGTACCAACAGAAAGATGGG